GGAGGCGCCTCGGAGTCCCATTGGTCAGCCACGATCTCCGCCCTCACCGCCTAGCGCTAGGCCGCGGAACCACGTCTGAACTTTTGCGACAGCTTCAAGCTCGACGCGCATCACCACCGCGCATATACCCACACCTACCGCCGCCATGGATGACCTATACGACGAGTGAGTGCGCCCATTCTCTCCAAATATGCTACGCGACTGACTTTTGACAGGTTCGGAAATTTTATTGGCGAGGCCGAGTCCGACGACGATGTCCAGAGCACCGGCCAGGCAGCGGACGCCTATGTCCTCGACGATGAGGAGGAAGCCGAGACGAACGACCAGCAGCTTATGGAGGTGGACGAGGGGCCATCCAATGCTGTGATCCTCCACGAAGACAAGCAGTACTACCCCTCTGCGTCCGACGTATACGGCCCAGATGTCGAAGTATTGGTGCACGAGGAAGACACTCAGTCGCTGGCGCAGCCTATTATTGCGCCGGTAGTGCAGAAGAAGTTCACGATTCAAGAGACAGATCTGCCCCCGGTGCATCACTCGAGAGAGCTCTTGACGGATTTGATGAACTTCCCCGACCAGATACGGAACATCGCCATAGCTGGACACTTGCACCACGGAAAGACTGCCTTTATGGATATGTTGGTCATGGAGACACACGACATCCAAGATCGTCTGGACTACAAGAGGGGCAAGAAGCGGGAGGAGCAGCTGCGATACACCGACGTACACGTGCTCGAGCGCGAACGAGGCCTTTCCATCAAGGCTGCGCCCATGAGCCTCGTCCTCCAGAACACGAAGCTGAAGTCGCATCTCTTCAACATCCTCGATACTCCCGGACACGTAAACTTCGCCGATGAAGTCGCCGCCTCGTTGCGCCTGGTCGACGGAGTGGTCTTGGTGGTGGATGTGGTTGAAGGCGTGCAAGTGAACACGGAGCAAATCATAAAGCACGCGGTGCTGGAAGATCTGCCCCTGACACTTGTGGTCAATAAGATGGACCGCTTGATCCTAGAGCTGAAGCTGCCGCCCAGCGACGCATACTTCAAGATCAAGCACGTAATCGAGGAGGTCAACACTATCATCGAGAACACCATCCCCGGCCGCGGCGAGAGTAGACGAGTAAGCCCTGAGAAAGGCAATGTCGCTTTCGCTTGCTCCAGCATGCGATGGTGCTTCACCATCCAATCCTTCGCGAAGATGTACTCCGACTTTTACCCTGGCCCATCGAAACTTCCAGGATTCGGCGTGCCAATGAAGGGTCTAGATATCGATAAATTCGCCATGCGACTTTGGGGCGACATCTTCTACAACCCTGGAAGCCGGAAGTTCAGTCGGAAGCGGCAGGAGGAGGGCTCACAACGGTCTTTCGTGCACTGGATCTTGGAGCCTGTCTACAAGATCTACTCGCACACGCTGAGCCAGAGCCCGGACGACCTCAAGGACACGCTTGACACTTTGGGCATTCGATTGAAGCCATCCGAATACAAGACCGACGCAAAGGAGCTGATGCGCCTCGTATGCCAGCAGTACTTCGGCCCATCTCTCGGCTTCGTCGACATGATCACACAACACGTCCCTTCGCCTGAAGAGGGTGCGCAACGACTGCTGCAAAGACACTACACTGGACCTCTGGATACGAAGACCGCCGAAGCCATGCAGAAGTGCGACCAGAACGGACCCCTAGTCATACATGTTACGAAGCTGTTCAATGCAACAGACGCCAAGTCGTTCACAGCACTGGGCCGAGTGATGAGCGGTACTGCAACTTCGCCGCAGTCGGTGCGTGTTCTTGGTGAAGGCTACACGATCGAGGATGAGGAAGACATGGTCGTTGCGACAGTAACAGACACATGGATAGCGCAGTCACGATACAACATCCCTGTTAGCGGTGTTCCGGCAGGTAACTGGGTGTTGCTCGGTGGTGTCGACAACTCGATAGTCAAAACGGCGACTATTGTGGCTACCAAACTTCCCGAAGACGAAGACGCCTACATTTTCCGACCCATCCGCCACTTCTTTGAATCCGTATTCAAGGTCGCAGTCGAACCGATAAACCCCTCCGAATTACCGAAGATGCTTGACGGTCTGCGCAAGATCAACAAGTCATACCCGCTCATCACAACCAAGGTCGAGGAGTCAGGAGAGCACGTTGTTCTCGGTACGGGCGAATTGTACATGGACTGTGTTCTGCACGATTTACGACGGTTATACGCCGACATGGAGATCAAGGTGTCAGACCCCGTAACAAGATTCTGCGAGACGGTCGTTGAGATGTCCGCCATCAAGTGCTACGCGCTTACACCGAACAAGAAGAACAAACTCACGATGATTGCTGAGCCGCTCGACCCAGGTATCGCGGAAGACATTGAGGCTGGAAAGGTCAATATCAAGGACCCTGTGAGAGTTGTTGGAAAGTTCTTCGAGGAGAACTACGGATACGACTTGCTCGCGTCGCGTAACATCTGGGCTTTCGGACCTGATGACATGGGCCCCAATATCCTACAAAACGACACACTCCCCTCAGAGGTCGACGGCAAGACTCTACGGACGGTGCGCGATACGCTTCGACAAGGTTTCAGCTGGGCTACCCGAGAAGGCCCGCTCTGCGAAGAGCCCATTCGCAACACAAAGTTCCGAATCACCGATGTCGAGCTTGCGCCAGAAGCCATCTTCCGCGGAGGTGGCCAGATTATTCCTACCAGTCGACGAGCGTGCTACTCGAGTTTCCTAATGGCCAGCCCAAGGCTAATGGAGCCGGTGTACTCGTGCAGCATGGTCGGCCCTGCAGACACCAAGAGCAGCTTGTACACAGTCCTCGCACGAAGGAGAGGACACGTTCTACAGGATGGACCCATCGCGGGTACTCCGCTGTACAACGTGCGTGGTCTTATCCCGGTCATCGATTCTTTCGGTTTCGAGACCGATCTCAGGGTACGTACACCTCCTACAATCATCCCCATTACCTAGCGATATACTAACTTCCCGTAGATCCACACACAAGGCCAAGTCTCCCTCTCCCTCGTTTTCGATCGCTGGTCCATCGTCCCCGGCGACCCTCTCGACAAAGACATCACGACCCGACCGCTCGAACCCGCAACCGCCCAACAACTCGCACGCGATTTCGTGCTCAAGACAAGGAGGAGGAAGGGTCTTGCGGAAGATGTCACAATTAGCAAGTTCCTGGAACCTGAGCTATTCCGTTCTCTCAAGGAGAGCGGGGTGCTTGACGGATAGATGGATTGTATAGCATACTTTGGAGTCAAATGGGACCGGCGCAAATTGGAAGCTACAAAAGCATATAGGGAACTCATGTTGAAGATGCGCTCATGAAGGTGGCTGGAGAGTCGAAATGAAATATACCCGTCGCATGTCGCTACATCATTACCTTCCTCCTCTCCTGTCGCATGCGACCTCGGCAACGTCAGTGCACCACGTGATATCCACAAGAGCCAGCACGGCTATATAACTGGCTTTGCAGCCTCTTTCCATACAATACTTTCTCTAAAATCAAAATACTATGAGCGCAGACCCATGTGTGCCTGTCTTCTGTTTCACCAAAACCCTACCACACAAAGAAAATGTGGATTTCCTGTCCAGTCTTTTTCCCACCAAAATCGATAGCACCTTTGGCCTATGTGAGCTTCCAGACCGGTCTTTTCCAAAAATCAAAATCATCGCTGCAACGATACATGTCTCTGCCCGGGTTTTGTTTCCCATCCAAATCGTCAATTATCTGGCCCATGTGGGCTCCCAGGCCGGTCTTTTCCAGCAAGATCAAAGCATGAAATATACATAATCTGGTGCTTTGCATCTTTTATTCCTCGTCAAACTAGAAATATTCACAGCGCATGTCTGGATTCAGCTCTACACTTCATCAAAAGTGCAAGCAACGCTCGTTATGTTTGGGCTACTACCAGTCTCTTGAAACCAGAACACGACTGAGAGACAGCCTCTTCGATGCTGATACCTTGCCTGAGTTGTGCGATGCTGGCCTACCAAAATCGACCACGACATTTTTCGTGTCCTCTGCCGGTCCACCAAAAAAAGACCAAGAAGCTCAATATGTTCTCTCCAGTCTACCAAAGCTACAGCAGTGGTTGCCATGTTCTTTTCCGTCTTTGAGAGCTTTACGATTGTCAAAAAACAAACGGCCAATTAACGCATACAAAGGACTCGAAAGTCGAAATCTCAGACTTTATGCTGCAGCCAGGAGGACTTTACAACGTCATCACTTTTCAGTTTCTTTTCGAAACTCACATCGAATACCTCCTCGCGGCATGGTCTTATATCACAGAACATGTTCTAGTTCAACGTCTGCTTCTTCTCTGGGTCTAATACACGGAGTCTTACATCTTTCTGGGAGTACTCACAATACTCCGCTCGCGTCATGACTAGTCTCGAACAGACTGAGTTCTTCATCACCACCATTTTCTGCGAACGTGGTCTTCGTTAGCTTGTCCCGCCACACATTGCAGAGCAGCCGCGCAAAACTCCAACTGAAGATCAAACATGCCGACTACTTAGACGCATGCGCAAACTCGGTCTATGCGACAACATAAATCTCGATACTGGCGCATACTCGCACTTCATCGAAGGGGAGAACCAAACACCCTGGGGCCTACGTTGATGTTGGGCTACCTAGTTTGCATGATTTTGTTTCAATGTAGGCTGCAGACCTCTTCAGCCTTTTCCTTGTATGAGGTACTCGAATGATTCGGTATGGAGCGAGGATGAAAAGTTGGTCTCTATGAATGAATACAATTCTTGTCCATCGGGGTTTAGCAATATACAAGCTTTCTATGCATCGCCGAAGCACCGCAACACGAGTGTCGACGAATGGCTACACGAATCGACACGCGTTGTTAGTCTCATGGGAATTATTGTCTGATAATTTCGAGATGTCAACGCTTTCTGTAAACTGATTGTAGAGAGCTACGTCCTTCTATAAACTGGTACGCAATAAACACCATGACTATGCGCTGTCCTCTCTCAATGTGCACTTACGCCCTTTCGTCGTACTGAACAGACTCAGGCTTCGACACTTTCTGGCCTGTCACTAGCTCTATGTCGCGTACAACCAGATCGAATGGTATCATGTAAGCGACGCGCGAGTGCTCGTTGGAGGCATAAAGTAGACTGACAATGGTCGCTCTCCTATTGCGTTCGTTCAGTAGCACGCAACTGCCGGAGTCGCCGGCCCTCATGAACTCTTCTCCTTCGCGGTCATGCATGACGCCGAAAGCCAGCTTGATACCGTCTGTCGTTCCAAATCGCTGCTCCATGTCTACCGGTACAATATAACCAGAGTCATGTCGTAGATCCAAGAGTGAGCCAATCTGGTTGATGTATTCGTACGTCCAGCCAGTTGCCCGGCCCTTCTTAGGCTGCTCTACGCCAATACTGGCTCCCATCTCTACGATGGCGTCGTAGTCCTGTATTGTAGAATATATGGCAGGGCGTACATACGGTTCCTCTGCTTCTTCCTCGTGTCCAGATGTCTACATGGCCAGGTGTAGTGCGTAAAGGAGATCGACCTCCATTGTCTGGGGGAGTAGTTGACGTATATGAGGTAGGATTCTGTCCCACCATATGGCTGAGTCGGCATCTTGTGCGGTGATGAGGAGAGTAGGCGTGCGTATGGGATGCAATTCTCCGATTTCACGGAGGACGATGTCGGCGGTGAGCCACTGTTGTTCCTGGATATCTTCAAGGAGAGCTGGCCGATAGCACTCCCATGCTGCGACAAGCTCTGGCGCGCAATCTGTGAGCGGCGCTGAGGGTACTCCGTCTGCTGTTCTGATGTCTGTAATTTCAACCGTAATGTCCTCGCGATTGGCCTTGTCGAAGAGTAATCTGAGATCACTCACCGCGACCTTCCAGGCCGAGTATTGTCTTTCCACAGAAACGTCCGAGGTGACTAGTAGCGTAAGAGGCGTCAGGGATGGGGTCTGACCGGGTCGGACGCGCTTTACGAGGCCGTAGCCAAGAACCCGGACCTGGGCGTCGTGAAGAATGCGGGCTACGCTTTGTCGAGATACGCCGTCGCTCCACTCTGGTATTCATTGGGCTCCTATATTATCGAAGGAAGGTACGGTTAACGCGCCGACACGGTAGGTCCATCTAATGTCCATCTTTGGTGTCTCGCGTACGAAAAGTGGAGGTGGAGTTCGGCAGTCGATTTGGCTTTGAGCTTGTGAATCCTTGGTTTTAGGTAGCGTAAAACAATGGAAGATCCAGCGATCTCGTTCTTGGTGAGTACTTAGGGCGAAAGGAAAAGTTCATCGAGGAAGGCCTTTTGTACTTGGACATTATGTGCTATAGTGGGGCAGACGCTTGTAGAACCGTGGCACAGCTGCAGGACGGACGCTGGGAATTGGTGGAGGCTATGCTGACGTACGGGGCGAATCAGGCCAGAAATGACTGTTGACTTGTGCTGCGTGGTTCATGCGGCAAGAGCGTGCCATGGATCGGATGAGGGAAAGTGGAACGTTGGAGTGGTGCGTCATATCTCAAAGCGGTAGCGATGAATCTGACCAAGTTGATGCGCGACTTCCGTTAAGGGTCTTGGTAATAGGATGGGGTATGTGCGGGGCTCGGACAATGCGCAAGCGCCTACATGGACGACAGAACTTGCAAAGATCGGGATGAGATCTGGGTGTCGAAACGAGTCTGGCGGAACATCTGTGATTATGTTGCGCTCATGTCGATCCCTCCCACCGTACACGACCGGGTAGCATTGGAAGAGCAAGAGCAGATTACGGAAGGAGAGACTATCACTGCCAAGTTGAGAATCACAAAGACTCACTTGCGGCTGACTTATGTTCCCGTATCACGCTAGAGACTACACCCTATTGGTGCGCCGCATCACAGTAACTTTGACGTTACTGGTCCTTCGAGATGGCGTGAGGCTTATCGACCTCTCAGGCAACTCCCATTTATTGATGCAAACATGAGCAGATTCTAACATTCTCACGGCTCGGAGACATCGCCCACACACGCACTAAGGCTGTGTACGAAGCCCAGTTTATTTACCTCTCTATACTTGATGGTAGGAGAGGCTTCGTGAGTTATGAGTGACCGTGACCTCGGAATACTGATGCGAGATACCGCTCATAGTCCTCCCATATGTGGCTCGCGTCATGGAGACGCTTAGATTTCGAGTACCTGTGGAGGCTAAAAGATACTAACTCGTGAAGAACTCAAACTTTTGCAACCACTTTGAGTTATACAAGGAGTTTCACGAAGGAGTTATCGGGCACAAAACATGGCCCTGGAGACTACGTGAAGTTCTTGAACGAGAGCCTAAGAGGCTGCCTGCCATTGAAGTCATACACGAGCTATCATAAGTATCTGAGTGTAGCCCACTTGAATCGTTGTAGACGTCTGGACGAGCTGCTGAAATAGGGTCTTGGTTCCACAGAACAAAATAACCATTCATTTCCACTCCTCGATCATTTCCTAGTCTCATCTGCTTTTTTGGTCCCTGAGGTCGAGAATTTGCAAACCATCTGATTTCCAGCGCTCACATGTTGGCTGTAAATCATCCCAATGTCGCCCTTGGCTCCGCCTCCTCACTGAGATCTTCTCGGGTCTTGGTATGTCCAACCATCTAAGCTGAAGCAGGAGCTCGGGCTCCAGTCATCTTGACGATTATGTTGAACGTGAGCTCTCCCTCGCTGTGGGCGGGGAGACCCATGCCACCTTCACCGAACGAATCGGAGTCCTGGATGCAGTGAATCATACGCCAGATTTCGTTGAGGTTGGTGACTTGAGTATGGATGTTGAATGACGTGATGCGGGTGCCGATAGGTACCCCGTTGGCAACTCCGTTGACACTGCCAAAGTACAGACCGAAAGAGATACCGTCAAACGAACGATCGTGAGGCTTAAGGCCGTAGTAGAGTCGGAGGAGGTTGTCTAGGCGTGCTGGTGTGAGGCGCCATGGGTTTGGGATGTTGTCCGGATCACCGCCGGCGGCGAGGAAGGGTGCGTCTAGATGATCAATCAGCTTCGAATTCATAACACTTGTTTCTGCAGTACTTACTGATGGCTGCAAACCTGTCTCTCTCGGCCACCAGTTCGCGAGTGTCTGCCTGGAGGCGGGCCACCTTGGCCTGGACCTCGGGGGACAGACGGGGGACAGTAGTCACTTCTACAAGCCAGATCTCGGCGGAAGAGTTGGGGGATGCCATGATGATGTTGTATTGAATGATCTTGGTGGCGGTTGTAGTATTTGGTGTATTGGTGTGTTGTGTTGTAGAGGAGTGTAGAGTCAAAAGTTGAAATCTCGCTCTCACCTTCACTTTATATAAGTGGATACCCAGGTATCTCCCACGTGCTGAGCCCTCTCACCTGTAGCGCGCGCGGTGAGCTATCGCAAAGCTTGGTGTAAATTCTGCTCGACATGTGCTCTCCCGAAAGATTGTTGCGATGATCTTGCTTCGGAGTAGCTAGAATGCGTGGCGTATACATACTATCGAATCTTAACAAGTACACACTTCCTAAGTAAATGTATCCTCCAGCCCTGAAATATTCTTCAGACAATACAATACAAGTTGTGCCACCTATAGTAGCATTGAAGGTGACTTTTGGTACAGAATTGTGGTACCAAACCAAGGAAGAGGAAAAGACATGTCAAGCAATACCATGTGCGCGCATCTGCTATCGACTCGAGCCAGTTCAGTGACACTGTGTCTAGCCGCTGCTAAACCACCCACATCATGGTCATTGTCACAAAGAAGTTTTGGTGTGTATCGAGGCTGCCAACTCCAACATCATCAGGCTGATCGCTGAGTGTTTTGGAAAAGCACTCCGTGCTCGCAGGTTGAACATACAATATCTGCACCGAGACTCTCAGAACAGATCATGGACGGGTGCAACTGCTCTTTTTAGAAAATACGCGGAGGAAGATTTAGAATAGAAGAGAAGAGGAGCGGAGTAAAGTTTGGAGTTATATATTCGGCAGAGGCGCACTATCAGCGCATGTGTTGATTGTGGGTGTTTTTGAATACCATGTGCTCTGCTACATGTCTTTGACGTTTCCAAAAGCGGTGTATCTGGCATGAAACATTGTGCTCGGATTTTGGAGAACCGAAGCCGTCATGTCTGCGTCAACTGCAAGTTTTTTTAAAGGCGAATTTCCCGAGGTTTTTCTGGATACGAGCAGGATGCAGCAAATAACTTGGACACACGATCTCAAAGATCCAGGGGCGGCCATCTTGTACACGTTGGAGCTTTTGAAGTACAGCTCACCAACAGCTCACCAACATAAGCTGGTAGATTTTTCTTCTTGGTAGCTCGCGGCAGGCAGACAGCGAAAGACATCATACTGTTCGTTGTCTTATTCGAAGCAAGTCATGTCTCCAACTCCTCAAGTTTTTCGTTTTGGTGTGGAAAGCAGGGTAATGGAAGAATGAAAGCGGGTATACCAGAAGTGATATTTATACCCAACTGGACTAGCATAGAGCAACGCCATGGCGATGTGGATGGCGATCTATTCCTTCTCAGCGGTGCACAGAGGAAGCCGACGCAACCGCCCGATCATGGACTAGGGTAACGTTCCTTTTTGGTTCACATGATTATCATGAGTAGAAGCATGGCCATATCGAGATTGACTGTACTTTTTGAGAATGTGGGATCGCATATGCTTTGACACTCGTCGTTTTGGTGGAATGAAGAGACTTGGAGTAGAAGACTGTATTCGGTGTAACCTGAGGGATTGAACGCATCATAAAATTTTCTTGACGATGTTTTAGCACATATCGGTGCGTCGCAGTTGGTTTTTGGAACATCTTTGGCGAAAGGGAAAGACCGAGGAACAGACATCATTTCATCCCCACAAAATTTTGGAACAGACCATGTACCTTTTCTGGCTTTGTTTTGGTAAAACAGAAGGTTTTTCGTGTTCTTGCAAGAACAATGGAGAGAAGAGGCGGCAGAGACTTAAATATCGTGAGCCGGGGCCACGACGGCGGACATAAAAGGGTTGAACTCGTTTTTAGGCCGATCGAAGGGTCCGAAATCCACAGATCATGGACACATCGAATGGCGTTTTTGGAGATGTATGCACATAGACACTCTTCGGTTGTGTTTTGAACCGTGGAAAAGGAACGTTGACATAACCCGGAGTGGGAGACTTTTCGAGGCCAGGACACATATCGTTTAATTGATTGATTTTTGAAACAGTGCAAAGGCAGTAGATGGGGCAGGATGTCCACAGGCAGAAGAGCGGTGTTGATATAGACGTTGTGCCAAGAGAAGTGCGTTTGCGTGCTTGTAGGAAGGCGTGACGACTGCAATAGGATGGTGGTCCATTCCATGAGCGGGGCATCTGGATCTGTATACTGTACCGGTAATTTGAGTAGACTGCTGAAGTAGCGTAGTCGATATGTAGCGAGCAAGTGCTCGGGATCCAGAAGCAGAAGAAAGAACCACACACGATGAAAGCGGCGTAGAAATAGTATTGGGTATCAGTATACGCAGCGATATGAGGACAAAGCCGCGAAAAGCACAGAGCGCAAAAAGAGTGTGCCCGAGGCCAAAGAAACAACGCTCGCGACAAACCTAGTAAACACCCAACATGACTCGCTCCATCACTTGTACTGATACTCGTTCTCGTCATCACTGTCATCCTGTCTTTCAAGCACATCTTCAATCTCCTCGTTCAGCAAAAGACCCATATCATACGTCTTCTCCCTGATCTCATCGGCCTCTTCCCTGCCCACAGAACAGTCGTCCATGATGAGCAGAATCGCAGCTTCAGGCACCATGACAGCTTGCACAAAGGCCGCGATACCGGATGCTTGGACGACGCGATCCTTGCAGTTCTTCATCTCGACCTTGAGAGTATCCATGACGCTTTCTGTGATAACGCGACGGCCGTGAGGACCATAGTAACCCGGGTAAGCGGCCTTCTCGTCAAGAGCATATGATTCCAGTTCCTCTTGTACGTCTTCTGCCAGATCTGTTCGTCTTGAAGGTACGGCAGCCGCCTTTCCAGTCAATGCCAGCGGTTCGTAGCGATCTCTGTGTATACTGGACCGGTCATTGTTGAGTATTTGTAACAAAGTCGCCTTGCTCCTGCGTATTCGCCTAGGAAGTGCTTTCCAGTCAATATCCGGGTATCCTTTCTGTGTGTACTCCTTCTGTGCCGACTTCTTCTTGTGCGCATGGCAAAATGCAGACTTATTCTTCACAGTTTTATCCTTGCCTTTCCAGAAGTTCCAGTATTCGTCCTGCTCGACTGGCTCTGAACATAATGTACATCGTGAGCCTTCCTCCTCTACCTCGGGAAGCTTCCCGATGTAGCTACTAATGTCGTCGAGGGCTTCTTGTGGTGCGCTGGAATCTGGTTGTGAGGATGGTGGTTCCTGGTTTTCCTTCCAGGTGTTGAGTTGACCAAGTAGTTGGGCGGTTCTGGCTGCCTTTTCTGCTTTCTTCAGTGACTTGGGGCTCATTGGAGTGATTCCTAGTTCCTTGTCCAGCTCTTCGCCTTCGAGTATCTTGGGTGTAGCATCGCCGCCTTCGGCTTTTGCTTCTTTCACCCTCTTCTTCGGTCTACGCAGTCCATCGATATTGTTTTGTGGTCTGTCGCAGTCTTTTGGCAGCGCAAAGAGCTCTTCGTCGTCTAGACCAATGGAACTGGCATCGCTCTCGTCACCAGCTTGTGACAGGCCAATCCGCGATTTATTCTTCATTCCATAGGTCTGCCCCGTAGTCTTTGGCGCTGCCTTCCCAAACTTCTTCGCAGGTGGTGCTGCGTGTATATTCTTGGTCTTCGAACTATAGCCCTTGCTGTTCTTATTGGTCTTCTGGGAAGTGTGTTCCATACCCCAACTAATCGGGCCATCGTTGGCTGACCCTGCAGACGACGCAGGTGTGTTTTCCTTGGAATCGTCGAATATCGTCGTGGCTTTATGCGCTTGACCACTCTGATACGTCCCACTCGTGGGCGCACGTATTATCCCAATCTTCTTTCTCGCAGCCTTCTTCTGAGGTCTTCTCAGAGTTGTATCCTCGGTATTCTTCGATGTGGGTATTGTAGGTTTCGCGGGCTGGACCGGTTGAGGAGGGGGAGGATGCGATTCATTGTCGGAGGACACGGGCTCGGCATTGATATCGATTTCTTCCTGCTGATTTGTAGACGAAGTGTTGTCATTCGCCTGCCTCTTGGACGCGGGTTCTTCGTGATCATCCTCGCCAGCATGCCGCTTTCCACCAATGTTTCTTAACAATTTCGGCGCCTGCTTCGTCAGGTATACCATTGCCGCGCATGAATGAAGGAAACCGAACGAAAGAGAAAGATACGATGCGTACTCGAGGTACTGCGATGTCTGCGCACGTGAATGTATAGTCTTCCCGAGACGGACTCGAGATCATGCAGCAACGCGCCTTCCGCCGTTCCACCCAACGCGAACACCGCGTTCGCGCTAGTCCGTCTTATCGATAACGCCCGAGCTCCGCCAAAAAAAGTTACCAGAACTTGCCAACTTCGGTCGCAAACCCTCCCATACAACACCAAAACCCCCGGCATATCCTCACGATGGCTCTAGACGAAGCGCTGCAGCAGCCCTTGAACTTCACTGGTCATCGGCATATAATCTCGCGCCTCCTCCTAGCAACCCTCACCGGCCGACCCGTTCGCATCTCGCAAATTCGCTCTTCCTCGACCACACCCGGCTTAACACGCCATGAGACAAACTTCATCCGGCTGCTCGATTCGGTGACGAACGGCTCGCAGGTTCAATTCAGCATGACGGGTACGACACTAGTCTACAGACCGGGTCTCATCACCGGAAGCGCCGAGGGCCTAGGAGCCAGCGGCGGCGTGATCAGACACGAGATACCAGCAGAGTGCAGAAAGAGGGGTGTGAGCTGGTGGTTGATCCCACTCTGCGTTCTCGCGCCCTTCAGCAAAGGAAACATGCACGTCGTCTTCTACGGCGAAGGCTGCGTGACAGCTTCCACCATCGCCGGCGACGTCTCCGCCGACACCGTCCGCACCGCAATCCTCCCACTGTACAAAAACTTCGCTATCGAGCGAAACATCGAACTGCGCATCCTCAAGCGCTCTTCCGCGCCCGCAGGCGGCAAAGGCGCAGGCGGTGAGGTACAACTCGTCTTTAACCACCAAGTCCGCCTGCCCAAGACACTACACCTACTGAACCCCGGACGAGTCAAAAAGATACGAGGTGTAGCCTACTGCGTCGAAGTCCCGAAGAGCAACAACGAGCGCATGACCTTCACCGCGCGAGGCATCCTCAACAAATTCGTCCCAGACACGTACATCTTCTCCGACGCCAGCGCCGCGCCCTTAATACCTACAAACGCCAAAGGCCACTCCAGCGGAAAAGTGAAGGGCGCCGTGGGTTTCGGAATCAGTCTCGTTGCGGAAACCAGCACGGGATGTATATACTCTGCGGACGTATGCTCACCACCCGACGGTGGTGTGCCCGCAGACGAAATCGGCAAGCAATGCGCATACCAGCTCCTCGAGAAGATATCGCAGGGAGGATGCGTGGAGAACGTTGCGGCGCCTACGGTGCTCATGCTCATGGCTATGGGTAGTGAGGACGTGGGCAGAGTGGCGCTGGGCAAGGATATACTGGGCAGCGAGGAGATTATACAACTCGCGCGGGACTCCAAGGTCTTCGGTGGCAGCGCATGGGGCTTCAGGGAGGCGGGCGGTGAGAGGGAAGAAATTGTTGTTAGCGTTGTAGGAAGAGGAGTAGGCAATGTGGGAAGGAAAGTTGCTTAGAGTTTCTTCAGTTTGGGAAAAAGTTATGCGCGCAAATATGATACCCCCAATTTCTCATTATCTATCTTGGTCTGATGACACCACTTGTTTTAGTGCGTATACTTCGTGTGAGCGTCACTGAGACGGCAGGTAAATACGCGTCTAAGCAAAGAAGAGACGCCGCCCAATGATCTGATTCGCATAAAACCACTGTACAAAAAAAGCTGATGCTAAAGCTGGAGACGTTCCTACTGTCTCTTGCCCGCCGAGCTCGCTCCACTGCCACTGTCCTCATCGCTTTCCTCATCCTGATCTTGAGCATACTTCTCGTTAAACCTATCCTGGTCCCGATACGGGCCCTCGCTACCCTCATCATCGCTCAGCAGGTCCTCATCAGACTCGCCAGCAAAAGCATCATACAACTCTCCACCCCTCTTCGCGCGCTTCTTCCTGCCTGCAGCACCAGAAAGCAAACCCGCCTCATCTCCAGCCTCGTTGTCGTCCAGAACCTCGAACTCGTACGCATCGCGCGAGTCCTTCATGCGCTTGCGCCTAGCAATGAAGAAATAGATGCCGAGACCAGCCATGAAAACTATAATCAGGGCGAGAGCGCCGTATATCCAGATTTGGGTGCGCTTCGACACGCCAAAGGTGGGGAAGGGGTTAGGTAGGAAGTTTTCAGATGGATCAGCAGACGCCGTGGCACTGGAACTCGCAGTCGCCGAAGTCGTCGTCTGCACACCACTGTTAGCTGGTGTCTGAGAGGGCTTCTGGTTCACGGGACGGTCGGGGTGGTCATCGGGAATGGATGTCATGGTAGGTGAGGTACCACTGGGTATGGTAATACTAGTGGTATGCGCCGGATGGTCATCAATCTTGTCGTGATCGTCGTCGTCGTGCTCGTCGGGGATGGGGCGGAGTTTGGCTTTGGAGGCGTCGATGCATTCACCCCAGAGGCGGAGCTTCCAGTCGGTAAAGGTGCCCGTCTTCATGTTGCCGGATTTGACGTCTTTGACTATGACGGTCCAGTTGCCAATGGCGTTCTCTCCCCAGTGGGCGACGGACATGAAGGTCCAGTCGATGTAGCCGTATGGCGCTTCGTCATCGCGGCGTGCGGTAGACAGGTGCGAAACCATGCCGCTTGGAGATCGGAGTTCGACACTGAGATCGCCACGGCGCTCGTGTTCTACGTTCATGGTGAGCGTGATATGCTCAACACGGGCAAAGTTGGCCTTCTTGAGCATGTCTTCTTTGACTTCGAAAACACTGGCGAGACCCTGGTTGCCTTCAGGGATCGCCTTCTTTACGTGCATCCAGGGCGAGTAGAACCATGCTTGGGGCTTGACGAGCTCCCACTCCTTCGCCTTCTCCACGATGGCGTAAGCATCGAGCTTTCCGTATCCGAATTGATGGCTGAACATGCGATCGATTGAGGTCTTGGTCCAGTCGCTGGGTGTATCGAAGGGAACAGCGGTCATGACGGCGAGCCATTGCATGTCGCGCCATGTCAACTCGGGACGGGCCTGGAGCGCAAGAGCGAATACTCCTACACCAATGGGTCCTGCAGCCGATGTGCCTCCGTGCTGGCTGGTGCACTTGTTTGCGCCAACGTCTGTTGTGTGGATGGCATCGCCGCCGCCACTGCTGTATGTTACAACCAGCTGTGCGGAGCAGGCTTCGGAGTAGTAGGGGTGACCGTTGTTCTGGTCGATGGCGCCGACGGTGATACTGTAGATGCTGTTGGTGTAACCGTCGAAGTTGCAGTTGTCGTCGCTCGCAGCACCATTGCCTGCCGCGAAAACATAGATGGAGCCCTTTCCGCCGCGGCCCTTCTGAACAGCTGTGACCATGGCCTTCTCGATGAGGATGCCTGGGGCTTGCATGGTCTTACCATCGTCGGGTGGGCCCCACGAGCACGAGTAGATGTCGTTCTGCTGCATCTCGAAGTTTATCGCGAGTGCCTCGTCGAGATCTGTAATGTCGCCCGACAGGATGCGCACACCCGAGATCTTCGCGTCGTAGGCAAGTCCGACACCGCAGGCGTCGTTCCTTCCGGCGGCGATTTCTCCCGCGCATCGTGTGCCGTGGCGGTCGTCGGAGAGCTTCGGGGTCGGTAGGTCTTCGTGGTCGTTGTAGTCGTGGGAGCCGGCAGCGAAGAAGTTGTCCTTGAGGTCGTTGCTGGTGTAGTCCAGGCCATCGTCGACAACGCATGCGGTAACGCCTTCGCCGGTGATGTTCTGCAGCCACACACCGGTGACGTTTATGTCGTTCCCAGGCGTCTTCACATTGAAGATGTGCCATTGCTCTTCGAAGATGGGGTCCTTGATTTGCAGCTGGCTCGCTACTTCCCGCTGAGCTTTGATGGCATCCGTAACAGGGGGCCCCCGTTCTGGCAGTTCTGGGATGACGCTGCGCTTCCAGTGCCGCGCCTTGATCTTTTGCTTTTGGGTGAAGTGGACGCTGTCGAGAGGGTGGTACTCGGGGCCGACTTCCCGTTTCCGCCGCCGCCTCTTGAGTTCTTGTTGTGCGTCGTCTATAATGTCGTTCTCGTGCTTGGGGGCCTTGAAGACATGGTGGTCCTCGAGTGTGCCAAAGGGGCCCTCGTACGTCAGGCCGAGGTGCGCGGCGAGGTCTGAGGGCGATGCGGAGGGGGAGATGTGGACGGCATAGTAGTCGTGGCTCGAGTAGTTGCGGGGTGGCAGGTGCCTTCCCGCAGTAGCCAGTGTGGCTGCCGTCAGCAGGCTCCAAAAGTGAATGCGCATGGCGGAGGCGCCGAGAGGGTATTAAGTGCAGCCGGCTGCGGTCATGTATCGTGGAGGGTTGTAGGGCGTGACGTGGCAGCGCGTGCTGAGGAAGTATGCGTAGGTGGGTGGTGAGGATACCGTGGGCGGCGAGTCGAGAGGGTCGTCGGTATTGAGCTTATTGAGGAGACTGATTACGACGACAGGGTATTAGATGGACCGAAAAGCCTATGCGCGCGCCGAGTGCAGTGCGGCGGGGGAACAATACAGGCGTAGTGTAGTAGTGTGAAAGAGGAGGAAGAAGCACCTGGGGCGTCACGTCGAGGAAGTCGGCGACTGAAACGTTGATGTTTGACACTTCTCTGGCTTCTTCGCATGCAAGGTGCCTGTATTGAGACCCCCGGGACGCCTTCCCCTTGCGGCGCTAGTGGCCGCCGCCCTTGCCTTGCCGGTCGCCGTGTGGAGGATGCCTGTCTGTCCAAGATGCTGCCGTCCAGCTCGAGCCCCAGCCTCCTCTACCGCGCCCGCCACCACCATTCTGCGATATGCGCTGGCCATGGATAACTGCCCCGACCCTGCATCCGTACCGCTCTTCCTATGTCCTTGCACTTAGCATCTCTTGATTTTCCCGCGACACATCGCTGTCATTGCGCCGTCCATTATCGCTACCGCATATTGCACCCCAGCACACCTCCGCCGCCTCTCCGCACCCGACATTCTTAGGTAGCTACCACCATCGAGGACTGCAATTGAGACGTGTATCTAAGACCGCATGTGATAGTGTAACCTAGCTACGTAGATGCGCCCGACCTAGTTTCGTCCCATCTCCCCAGGACGGTGGTACGCCCCGCTTGCTTCACCGTAGCCATTACCGATCCCATGATCTCGTCGCATCATGGAAAACAATAGGAACAGCGGCTCCTTTGCATCGCGGGCCGTCAATCCTACTCTCCTTGAAGTTCCAGACAGCAATCCCCAGAAGCGCAAATCCTACCGCCGCCCAGCCGATGCGCAACCCACAGGCGCATCCCCACCAGAGCCCGATATGTCGAATACCGTACCCAGCAACACTGCGCGCCCGGTCGCAACTGTGCCCTTGAATGGCAATGTCACCATTGGCAGCGGGCATAGGCGGCGGCAGAGCAGGCATATTCCGCCCCCGACGACAGGCGCAACGAGCGAATCTGTGCCAGCTGCCCCAGAAGTACCTCGTGCGCCACCCTCCTCATACCGGGACCCGTATGCCAGAGGGGTCAAAGTACCCGCGCGCTCAAGCTCTGGCCGATCGCGCGACCCAGCCATCCAATTGAACCCGAGCAGACAGCAGGCGACTATTCAAACAGCTGCCAACAGACTGTACGAGCTACGGTCACCACCCTATGCGCCAGCCGAACCGTTGGCGGGGACCGTCCAGCGACGCGGCTCTCAGCGCAGACCCTCTGTGCCCGACCGATCGCCCCTGCAAAAGTTGGAGGGGAAGCTAGACGATATCAGCAAAGAAGAGAGAAGGGCACGGATACTCGAGGCGGAACTGGCCGCGCAAGAGAAGGCTGAGGCGGAGATGCGAGAACGACGAGCGCGAGAAGCTGCGCAAAAGCAACGCGTCGTGTCTGTGCCCATACCGGAGAAGTCATCCAACGCTTCTGCTCCGACCAACAACGGCAGGCGCCAGGTGTCTATGCCGTTCCAGGACAAAACCATGTCCCCGCCAATGTCCCCACCGATGTCACCGCCCATGAGCGACCTGGAATCGGACGACGGCTATGCCTATGACCTTAGCGACCCATGGCACCCCTCGGATGCGCAAGGAGGAGCAGTTCAGTCCGTTCAGCATGTACCCATGCAAAAAGCGCAGGTTGTTCCCATGGCCTACCAGCCGGTACCGCATACTGATGCTGCCATACCGCGAGGTAGCAGCTTGAAGGGAAAGGAACCGGCGGGCTCACGGAAATCTGGCAGCTACAGCGATCGGAGTATGCTGCCTTCGCAGAACATGCCCAGGAAGCCCGTAGCCAACCCCGCGGGCCTTGGTCTGGTAGGTGTCCGCGACACTTCGACACCCTCTGATGTATCTCGTTCGGAGAGCAAGAGGGGCCAGGGGAGAAGAGACAGCCGTGGATTCATGGCTGCACAGATGGAAATGCAACAAAATGATATCGACTACAAAGGATCACCACGAGAGAATGATACCCAGCAACTACCACGCAAGATCCCTCCCGTTCCCCAGACCGTTCAAATACCGCCCATTCCGCCTGTCCCTCAGACCAATCGCAAGAGCGTCATGTTCTCCGAATCCGAGTCGGACCTAGAGCAGCACGATCCCGAGAAGAAACATCGCTACTCCCGCCATCACAGTGAGCCGGAGAGGACCTACACACCCGCTCCTATGCTCGAGGAATGGAGAAGTGCACCGATCGGTCTCCTTACTGCAGACGATCTAGATCTAGACGCTCCAGTCAAAGCCAATAGCGGCAACAAAGCATGGTGGGAAGAGAGCAAGGCCTCTCGACGAAGACGTTCAGGCGGATACGCGGAGCCAACTTACGATGGCTATGCCGACGATGCCCCCACACACACTGCTTTCAATCCACCACTATACCTCAAGTGTGGACCGCTCCTACGCTACACCGGTCTTCGGAGAGATCGTAGCGTTCCCGGACGTGAGCGTGAAATCTGGAGAGGCAGTATCATGATCGTTACTGTTGACGCCTCTTCTTCGTATGCCAAGCCGCCGACGTTGCGATTGTTCAAGCAGCCAATGGACATACTTCCGCCTCCGCCAGAGGAAATTAGCCAGGACCAGCTGGACCCATCCTACGTCGATCCCATCGAAGGCCAAGTCAAAGTGTCGCGTACTGGTGAGGCGCTATACGTCAAGCCGGTTGACGAACTCGCAGAGGATGAAGACCTATCGCGCATCGAAGACGACACCGGTTTGTTCTCCACGACTCGAAGCACAACGAACGGATCGGGTTCTAAGTCAACCCGCATTCACAAGAAGGACGGCGAGAAGCTTGGCAAAGTCCGTGATTTCCCCGGTATACGCCTGTATGCTGAGCGAGGCGTGACCTTCTGGCGCTTCAACATCGAAGTCGAACTTGGCAGTACTCAGACACGCATTGCCTACAAGATCAACCAAGGTCCTGCCATTGGATTTTGGGTCCCAGCCAAAGGAGAGTCTATGAACATCATGTTTCACAGCTGCAACGGCTTCTCGGCCACTGTCGAAGCGAATGAGTTCTGTGGTCCAGACCCGATGTGGCGCGATGTACTGAACACGCACCAAACCCGCCCATTTCATGTGATGATCGGTGGAGGTGATCAGATTTACAACGACGCTGTAATGAGGCAAACGACTTTGTTCAGACAATGGACTGAAAACAGGAACCCCATGCACAAGCACCATCAGACATTCTCTGAGGAGATGCAGAACGAGCTGGAGCAGTTCTACCTCGATCGATATGCAATGTGGTTTTCCCAGGGTTTGTTTGGCATGGCCAACTCCCAGATCCCAATGGTCAATATCTGGGATGACCACGACATTATCGACGGCTTCGGATCATACCCTCATCACTTCATGCAAACACCAGTATTCACCGGTGTTGGTGCCGTTGCTTTCAAATACTACATGCTCTTCCAACATCAGTCTGTACCCGCCGAAACCGACAAGACCGAACCGTCATGGGTACTTGGAAAGAGTCCTGGCCCGTATATTAAGGAGCGCTCTCGGAGCGTCTTCATGCAACTCGGTCGCCAGGTAGCCTTCCTTGGTCTTGACTGCCGCACAGAGCGACAGCGTGACGAAATTCTCACCGAAGACTCCTACGACATCATCTTCGATCGTCTGGAAGATGAGATTATCAAGGGTGAGACTAAGCACCTGATCGTGCTCCTTGGAGTACCCATTGCCTACCCCCGCTTGAACTTCCTCGAGAACATCCTCACAAGCAGGCTTATGGACCCTCTAAAGGCTCTTGGTCGCGCAGGAATGCTGGGCAACTTCGTCAACAAGTTCGATGGAGGCGTCGAGATCCTGGATGACCTAGACGATCATTGGACCGCCAAGCACCACAAAGAAGAGCGCAACTGGTTCATCAAAGAGCTGCAACACATTGCTTCGACCAAATCTGTGCGCGTTACCATACTCGGTGGTGACGTGCATCTGGCGGCAGTCGGACAGTTCTACAGCAACAAGAAGCTGAACGTTCCCAAGGACAAGGATCACAGATACATGCCGAATGTTGTGTCTTCCGCTATTGTCAACACACCGCCTCCAGACGTGATGGCAGACATCATCAACAAGCGCAACAAGATACACCATCTCGATTCAGACACAGATGAAGACATGATCCCCCTCTTCACTCACGGCGTCGACGGCAAGAAGAGGAACAACACACATTTACTACCACACCGAAATTGGTGTAGCATTCGAGAGTACAAGCCAGGATCTTCACCATCAGAAACACCATCGCCACCCACAACCCCTGCGAACGGGCCGCGCATGGGAAGAACGATGTCAGACTTCGCGCCAGGGCAGCTGGTGAGAAGACTCAGTGGCCAACAGAGAAGACCTTCAGGAAGAGGCCGCGGGCCACCTGTGTCTTATCGCAACAACCCTTCATATGCCGCTGCCGATGAAGTTCAGATCGGCCACCATCAACCACAGTCTTCGTTCTCGCCCGATCGATCAGAACCTGAGAGACCCACTCGTTCGCGACGCAATTCTCTGACATCGCTCTTCCGTCGCCGTGCGTCAGTAGATGTCGCCCGTCCTGACACGTCTGAAACTGCAACACCTCCCCTAAGCCGGCATAGTGTGTCTCAAGATCGACCCTCCACCTTCCATCGCCGACCTAGCGTACTGACCAAGAAGACTGAGCGACACCACGGCCCATATGTCAACCTTGAGGGTGGTCTTGATATCTGTCTCAACGTTGAGGTGTCGCAGCACGACCCGGCCGGTATCACAATGCCTTACAGACTACTCGTGCCAGCGCTTACTTATGTCGAGCCTGAGGAGGGCGTCGTCGAGAAAGAAAGGGGTAGATCCCGTGGTTTCTTTGGCTCTTTCGGTGGCAAGCGCAAAGCGACAATCGGCGATGATGGGAATTCCATCTCGGGCAGCGAAAGCGGAAGTGAGCTTGGGGAAATGTCTAGTGAAGAGGAGGAAGAGCGCACGCAGCAAAGGTACAAGGTCGGACCTCGGATAGTCATGCCGAGTATGGGGTCTCAGAACAGGCGTGGCTCTGAACCTGCTCCTGTCACTGCCATTGGCCCTGCAGCTCCCGTTCCCACTGCCCGTGAGAACCGTCTAAGTTCAGGCTTCCATGCTAACGCAGCTGCAACTGTAGCTCCGAACCAAACGAACGGAATCCCCCGCGATCTCGTTCCAGAAAGTCAAGGACGACGAAGCTTGGATGCAGCTGCGGGTACCTCGTCCAGGGCTGCTGCCTGGGACAACGTGGCCGCGAAACGGCACGTCAGCATGCCGGTCGCTCCTCCCGCTACCCAGACTGCGACCCAAGCGACAGCGATGCCATCCCGCTCCGCCTCCACGCGCAAGCAGCCTACCTATAACTCGTCTCACAAGTCGCAACTCCCTGCGCCTTCGCCAGAGATAGAGCCCAAAGTGCAGCGAAGATCCATGGGTGGTATCTTGAACCAACACTCGCACGACAAGAAGTGGGAGCACGATGCCCATGTAGCCGCTCATACACCTGCACAAACACAAAGGAAGGCGAAGCGGGAATCATACCCACCGCATCCAGCGATCGTCGGCGCCGGACCAAACTCGCCCTACTCGCGAGACGGACAAGGTCTCCAAGCACGACAAGACACAGCCGGCGGTGACTACTTCTCCAGCGGAGGCCGAGACGGCAAGACCCATCCCGCAACAGCACCGCGTCAAGTCGTCGACCCAGAGTACACCGAGAAACCAGTCCAACGTGCCGACTACGCCGCACAACCACAACGAGGCGGTTACGACCGCACCTCTTCCTACCCAGCCTACCCCCAACGCAACGGCACTGCAGGAGTAGGTGCAAAGTACCTCGGCGGAGGCAGGTACGAGGACGAAGATGAAGATAGCTTCGATAGCGCTGATGACGATGAGGCTAGTCTCAGCGGACAGGAGCAGGAGATGAGTCAGGATAGCTTCGTGGTGCCGAAGCGTAAGAAGAAGTGGCAGATTTGGAAGTAATGGGTGAGGAGGGATTGCATTGGTAATGAGATTACGATTGGGGTACATGACTGGTTCGGGCTTTTTGCCCAGGGTACATAATGACGGCGCAGCGTATACCATGGTGTGTTTAGCGGGTTTTTAGAATAGCGACGTCCTTTTCTCTTCTCAATCCAATTTCTAATACTCTATTCTGGAATTCTCTTCGGTGGCATGTGCGTCGATGGAAAAGCTGGAATTACGGCTTGTCGTCGGTAAGCTGATGTTTCGATTGGTCGTCAACCATCACGAACCAAGGTTCCGACATCTCATCCATAGTACACTTAGGCGGAAGTATGTTTGAGCCTGGTATAATACGATACGTATCCCAACGACATTCTCACAACCATCAATAAGCCTACCGCCTACATCAGCTTCTCCCAGCTCCTATCTCGCCGATAATCTGCATTGTATACTCAAGCCTCCGCACCAATTTCACGAACAGTCTTTCAAACCCAGCCAATATGTCTCTCAATCCCCAACCCAAAATCCGCTTCACCCCCAAGATGCTCAACCAGAAAGCGAAGAAAGCCCAACCCACGCAAGAAATGTTAGATCTCGGCATACAAAACTCTTCAGATTCGGCCTTCTTCAACTTGCCAGGCGATATCCGCAAGCGCATTTACGAATTTGCGTTCACTACGGGTGAGATTATTCAACTCCTACCTCTTGATGCGGATCTCGAAGGGGCAGCCATTACTGAAGCAGAAGAGGAAGAGACGATCGAGATGGATGTGGATATTGATGATATGATGATGGGTCTTGAAATCAACGATACGTCTCTATCCGATAATACCAAGCCCCAAACGCGAAACCCCTTCGCTGCAATTCTCGCATCCCGGCAATTCTACCTAGAAACACATCTTTTGCCTTTCTACCACAACACCGTCTCCTGCACCAACATAGGGGACCTCGCCACAATTCTTTGCCGGCTGTCACCCGCCCAGATATCCTCCATCCGCTCGCTGAAGATCCAGTGGGCGACCGCGCTGTTAGCAGTGCAGGAGTACATGGATTTACCCTGGGCATCTGGGATGGATTCAGGGTCGGTCAGAGCAGCATTGTGTATGCTGCGTAAATTGGAGGAAGTGGTCGTGGACTGGGCGGGGAAGAGGCGGATCTTTCTCAATAAAAAGAGGGTGGAGGAGGCGCTGAATGCGTTGTGTGGGAGGAAGATTGTTGTTTCGTTTGAAAGGGGTGGGGAAGAGTATCAAGAGGTTGTGCAGCGTATGGGAACCGTACAGCAGAGGAAACGGATGGAGCGAGCGGACACGGCGATGGAGTGGTCGGCGCGCGCTTGGGATGCATGAGGGGGAGAGGGAGGTGCGCGGGAGGGTGGAGATGGAGAGTTGAGAACAATGTGCTCATGCACTCTGACATGATAACCTGTCTGTAGTTGCTTGCCTGACGACCTGTGTTTCTACTCTGGATAGCAATGCATGTACATGTTGCTATACGTTTGATGAACGTCCCTCTTCCCTGGAACCTCAGAATGCATGGCGATGTCAACAGAGAGTGGGACAGGTGTGAAGTAGTAGCTGATAGCTTGACTATTACGATTAACAGCACAATGCTCCTCGCATGCTCAGCATATGCGCTTTCCTTCCTAGTTCGTAGCAGGTGTTTAGAAGTGTAGAGATTAGTATTACGCAAGGGTAGCCCCGCCACCAAAAGATAAGGCCCGGCCCGCGAGCACAAGGAGTCTGCAAAAACAGCAAAAAAAGGTGAGAGATCACTAGTCCTGGTGGGGCTGGAAGAGCTGTTAGTAAAGGAAATCGAATCACGGTTGTCCGGAAATCACGTACTTCGAACCCACGGCATCCGCATAACCTGAGATGAGGTCATAAGAGTCTGACGAATCTTATAAGAACGGCGCGCTACCACTGCGCCACAGGACTTTGTTGTCCCTGGACTTGTTTTTGGACATTTTTCAAAATAGATCGTATATAATGTAAATGTGTGCACATGGAAAGACTGAACGTAGCCGGTACCCATCGATCGGAATCGTTGTACACCGCACAGATATCATAGGCGGGGCAATGCAAACGTCGGTGAGTGATGACACAAAGAACGCCGCTAGCTGGTGGGGTGGCTGGTGCCCGCCCGCGTGAGGGGATCGGCCAACCACATCCGCTTAGTTGGACCGTGAGACATCTACCACGGTGCTCCCTTCCGCGTTCCTTGCTTCACAACCATCGCAATCACTCACCTGTAGGATACGCTCGTTGCTCATATCCTGAGACAAGCCCATCGTTCAGTAAGTCACGGTTCCAATACCCTTCATCGATCCGTAGCCGCCCTTCTTTATAAGTGGCGGGTGTCTGAGGTCGTTGCTTCTTTGGGTGTATGATGCTCGACAACAAGAGACTTTGGTCAAGGGCAAAAGCTGCATGCATTATTCTTTCAATGATCTGCTTTATGATCTGATGATCGTGTTCCTCCCTAGCATCTCATGGTCGGCTCTACACCATACGTGGTATCCGTACGGCTACATCTACACCGCTTCTGAGTGTCGCCAACACGACACGATCCTACATCTCAACACCATGGTCCAAAGCCTAAACATGAGACGCAGTCCATTCTGAACAACCGACTAACATGTTACAAAGGTACCTTCTATTGAAGCCAACACCAGTATGACAATCAGAGCCTCCAAGTTCACACCCGAGGTGCTACTCGAAGCGCCACGCCGTTCCGGAGGTGTCCCAAACTCTGATGCATCAAAAGTCGTGTACGCGGTTTCCACATACAGCTTTGCTGAACATTCGAAGAAATCCGAGATTCGCATTCTGGATGCTGCAAGCCAACAAACCAGTCTCGTGACAGATGATGCATCCTTCAGCGAGCCTTCGTGGCTTGACGATGAGACTGTACTATTGCTAAAGTCGAATGATGATGGCACCACGAAGATGGTTGTTGGCTCCCCATACAACTTCGAGAAAACGTAAGTCCAATACTTCCCATATGAGTGTGCGACTGCTAAATGACTCTCAGCAAACATACTGCTGTACATATCGACGGCCCAGTAAGCGACGCCAAGATTTATGCCCTCGGTGATGACACTTTCGGTTTCGCTGTGGTCGGTAAGGCGAAGCCAGATGGTACGCTGTTCAACCCTGAGCTGGCCGAGAAGCCACATTCCTCAGGCAAGCTTTACAAGTCCGGATTTGTTCGTCACTGGGATCATTACGTGACGGAGAACCGGAACGCGATCTGGCTTGGCAAGTTTATCTTGAAGAAGTCGGAGAAGTCCCAAGATACCGGTGCCAACCCTGGATATCCTCTGATAAATGCGCTAAAGGGAACGGAGTTGGAGTCGCCGATTGAGCCTTTTGGTGGAAAGGATCATTTCGACATATGCAAGTATGGCCTGGTCTTCACGGCGAAAGATCCTGGCCTGAACCCTGCGACACACACGAAGACCAACATCTACGTTTCCGCGTCTGAAACATTCTGGGATGATCTTCACTTCAAGGACCAGCCACAAATTCAAAATGTATCCATCGAAGGCTTCGAGGGCGCCAGCACGTCTCCTGTCTGGTCGAACTCGCGTGGCATGATCGCTTTCCTCTCCATGAAGACTGACGGCTACGAGTCAGACAAGAATCAGCCCTTCATTATCCACGATTACAAGAAACCCTCAGAGGTCACCCTGCTCTACGGATCTGAAGACGGCAAGGGTGAATGGGATCGAAGCCCACAGTCAATATCTTGGAGCCCTGACGACTGGCGCCTTTACTTCACTGCCGAATCACATGGGCGTGGAAACTTGTACGGTGCCGGACCCCCTAAGCCTGGCGGCGAGAAGGAGCCTCTGCCATCACTACTAGTGAAGGGTGGGACCATCGGCTCAGTACAGGTACTCAAGAATGGCGATCTTTTCTTGGCTTCCACCAGCTTGATCGAGAACTCTCTCTACTCACTGGTCCCACTGAGCGCACAAAACAAAGACACTGCCGTCTACGATCTTCCCATCGACGATCGGCCATACGACTCCGACCCTGATCATCTGACAACCAAGTACATATCTTCAAACACTCGCTCTGGGTCCATGTTTGGTCTGTCGCGCCACCAGATCGATGAAATCCATTGGGATGGCGCTGCATCCGGTACCAAGGTCCACGCCTGGGTTATAAAGCCCAGCAACTTCTCGTCCAGCAAAACATACCCCCTCGCTTACCTCATCCACGGTGGACCCCAGGGTGCATGGACGGATGGATGGAGTACGCGTTGGAACCCTGCAGTATTCGCAGAGCAAGGCTACGTTGTCATTTGCCCAAACCCTACAGGAAGTACGTGAATCTCGTACCACAAACTGTATAGTAGATAAATATTGACTTCATTTCTAGGCACATCCTACGGACAAGCCTTCACAGATGCGATCCAAGGCCAGTGGGGCGGTCTGCCATACGAAGACCTCGTGTTGGGCTTCGACTACATAAAGCAGAATGTCAGCTACGTCGACACGAAGCGAGCTGTTGCTCTCGGTGCCTCCTACGGCGGATACATGATGAACTGGATCCAAGGACACCCTCTTGGCCGCGAATTCAAAGCCCTAGTGACCCACGACGGCGTCTTCAGCATGTCCGGCCAGATGGCGTCTGAGGAGTTGTACTTCCCCTTCCACGATATCAAGGGAACGCTTTGGAACAACCCCGAGAATTGGGCCAAGTGGGACCCGTCCAGGTTTACCGAGAACTGGGCCACGCCTCAGCTGGTCATACACTCCGAACTGGACTACAGGCTCACCATCAGTGAGGGACTGGCAGCGTTCAATGTGCTGCAGTGTAAAGGAATTGAGAGTCAGTTCTTGACGTTCCCGGATGAGAACCATTGGGTGCTGAAACCGGAGAATGGGCTCATGTGGCATACGGTTGTGTTGGATTGGATCAATAAGCATGTGGGATTGAAGACGTACACTGAGGCTCGGAAGGCGGGAACCACCGACTAGTATTTCGGTAGTGAGCTTTTGCCATATAGCACGTCCCTATGCACTGATTGGGCTCGACATTGCCATGTGTGTGATTTCGTTGTCTTGACTCTGAACGACATATGAAGCCCGTACGATGATAAATCTTGTCACTGAATCTCTCGTTATTAGTGGCTAATCCAGTTGAGAGTGAAACAATAAGCAGATGAAAATAAATGCATGCATTCAAAGTTTTGGTTCAAGTCAAGACGCGCTCGCATTGTAGCGCGTAGGTAGCGTGAGGCTGCTCTTATCGATAAGGATCCTAGATTATTTTCTCGGGCATCGCGACGGCTCGAACTTTTCCTTAGAACGCAGCTCGTCACCCACCACACCAAGGGCAACAGGATTCACCGCCCTCCAATCTAAACGAAACTCTTCCGCGACCCGAACTCAGCCGATAGATCGCGTGCGCCACCCCAACCACACCCGCTATCGAACTAGAGGCGGCGACGCCTGCGGAGCTCTCAAGATGCCGAAGAAAGCCATCGACTCCCGTATACCGGCCCTGATCCGCAATGGCGCCCAGGAAAAGAAGCGCAGCTTCTTCGTAGTGGTTGGCGATCGCCAAAAGGACGTCATCGTCAACCTCTACCACATTCTGCTGAACGTGGACGTCAAGTTGAACAAGTCGGTGCTGTGGGCATACAAGAACAAGCTGCTGGGATTCTCAAGTCACCGCAAGAAGCGCGAAAAGAAGATCAAGAACGAACTCAAGCGCGGCATCCGCGATGTCGACACCGAAGACCCGTTCGAACTATTCGTCTCGACGCAGAACATCCGATATGTCTACTACAAGGAGACCGACAAGATTCTGGGTAATACATACGGCATGTGTATCCTGCAGGATTTCGAAGCGCTTACGCCGAACCTACTCGCGAGGACAATCGAGACGGTCGAGGGTGGAGGACTGGTCATATTGCTGCTCAAGGGCATGAGCAGCTTGAAGCAGCTGTACACAATGTCCATGGACATCCACTCGAGGTATCGGACGGAGGCACATAGCGACGTGGTAGCGCGCTTCAACGAGCGCTTCCTGCTGTCACTCGGGAAATGCGACAGCTGTTTGGTTGTCGACGATGAGCTGAACGTGCTCCCCATCTCAGGCGGAAAGCATGTGAAGCAGCTGCCACCACCAGACCTAGAGCTGGAAGGCAAGACACCGAAGGCGAAAGAGCTGGCAGAGATCAAGGAGTCGTTGGCAGACTCGCCTCCTACCGGAGATCTTGTCAAGCTTGCGAAGACCGTGGACCAGGCCAAGGCTCTTCTGACATTCGTGGAGGCCATCGTCGAGAAGACGCTTCGCAGCACGGTTACCCTCACCGCAGCTCGTGGACGAGGAAAGTCAGCAGCTCTTGGTGTTGCAGTGGCAGCAGCAGTAGCGCATGGATACAGCAACATCTACATCACATCGCCCAGTCCAGAGAACTTGAAGACGCTCTTCGAGTTCATACTCAAAGGATTTGATTCGCTAAACTACGCAGACCACCAAGACTACACCATCATGCAATCTACACAACCCGATCAGAACAAGGCCATCGTACGAATCGAGTTACATCGACAACACCGACAGGTTATTCAATACATCAGGCCCGAAGACTCGCACGTCTTGGGACAAGCTGAGCTCCTGGTCATTGACGAGGCTGCGGCAATCCCTCTGCCCCTCGTACGGAAATTGATGGGTCCCTACCTAGTCTTCATGGCATCGACCATCAACGGTTACGAAGGAACCGGTCGTTCGCTGTCCTTGAAGCTGATCCAGCAACTTCGCGAACAGTCGCGAGGTAAAGGAAACAATGGCTCGACTCATGTGGTTGATCGTTCGACTGGAAAGGAGACAAAGGACGGCAACGAGACCTCCATGACTGGCCGATCACTCCGGGAGATTACACTGTCAGAACCCATTCGATACGCTCAAGGCGACTCAGTGGAGCGGTGGATGAACGATCTTCTATGTCTGGATGCAACACTACCCCGAAGGACGAACACGCAAGGATGCCCGCACCCTGACAAATGCCAACTTCTTCATGTCAACCGGGATACCCTCTTCTCTTACAACCCGGCTGCCGAAAAGTTCCTTCAAAAGATGATGGCGCTGTACGTAGCTAGCCATTACAAAAACACGCCCAACGATCTCCAGCTCATGTCGGATGCGCCCGCCCATCAGCTCTTTGTGCTCACGGGGCCCACAGAAGAGAACAAGCTCCCCGAGCCTCTCTGTGTGATCCAAGTGGCGCTCGAAGGTCAGATCAGCAGGGAGAGTGTAATGAACAGCCTGAGCAGAGGACAGCGTGCAGGCGGTGATCTCATTCCCTGGATCGTATCGCAGCAGTTCCAGGACGAGAACTTCGCAAGTCTTTCCGGAGCTCGTATTGTGCGGATAGCAACCAACCCGGAGTACGTCAAGATGGGCTACGGATCAAAGGCATTACAGCTTCTGGTAGACTTCTACGATGGCAAGCTCGCCAGCTTGTCGGAATCTGAGCCTCAGGAGGTGGAACAGATGCGCAGAGTGACAGAGGAAGACTTGGAGAACACGTCGCTCTTACAGGACAATGTCAAGATCCGGGAAGCCAACGAGATGCCGCCGCTATTTGCCCGACTACAGGAGCTGAGGTCACCAAAGCTCGATTATGTCGGTGTATCGTATGGCCTTACATCGCAGCTTCACAAGTTCTGGAAACGCGCATCATTCGTCCCAGTCTATCTTAGACAAACACCCAACGATCTCACTGGAGAACACACTTGTATCATGCTGCGTTCGCTCGAGACAACCTCATCTGACGGTAGCTGGGTCGCCGCATTCGCCAAGGACTTCCAGAAGCGTTTCCTCTCCCTCCTTTCCTACCAATTCCGCTCATTCCCTTCCATCACCTCTTTGTCAATAGAAGAGTCCGCATCAGCAGGATCCAAGCTAGACGCCGATTTAGCCGCGAAACCCATCAGCAAGGCCGAACTAGACGCGCTCTTCACACCATTCGATCTCAAGCGTCTGGACTCGTACGCCAACAACATGCTCGACTACCACGTTATCCTCGACATGCTGCCTCCCATCGCCACCCTCTACTTTACCGGCCGTCTCAAGGGCCAAGTCAAGCTCAGCGGTATCCAAACTGCACTACTCCTCGCCATTGGTCTGCAACGCAAAGAGTTCTCCGACGTGGAGAAGGAACTCAATCTTAACTCCAGCCAGCTGATGGCCATGTTCGTCAAGATTGTACGAAAGGCTGCCACAGCATTCCGCAGCATAGTCGAAGGCGCAGTCGAAGAAACCATGCCCGATGCTATGGAAGTAGAAGAGAACGGTGCCGGTGATGACGCTGCTGAGGATGCTCACCGCTTCATTCCGCTCGAGAAGGATCTACAAGAGGAGCTCAGGGAGGGTGGCGATGAGTTCCTGGCTGAGGACAAGGAGAGGCAAAGGAGCATGATCGATGCTCTACCTCTGCATAAGTAAGTTCTTTACGTTCCACAGTCACACATCGAACAACCACTAACTGTTTACCTACAGATACGAAATTGGCGCCGGAGCTGCTGACTGGGAAGACGCCGAACGCGCCGTCAGCAACGCAGCCAAAAAGGGTGGCGCAGGCAGCATGACCGTCGCCGTCAAGACAGGCGAAAAGAAGAGGAAAGTCGGCGAGGCAGTCGAGGAAGCATACAAAGAAGCCGAGAAGTTCAAGGAGGGTGCTGCGAAGAAGAGCAAGAAGCACAAGTCTAGCAAGAAGGCTTGATCGATCGGAAATATCACGCTGCGTATGCATGGTAAAAGGAGTTCTTACCCTGGCGTTATAATCTAGTTTGGGGAAAATCCAGTCAGTGCTTTGTACTTTAAGTAGTAAGGGTAGTCAGTCAGTTAGTCTCCAATGTAGACCTAACCATTGCTTTGATTGACCCGATGATCTCACTATCTGTATGCCTCTAATCCTCTCTACTCGACCCTATCAAACCAGACCGAAACGAACAAGAAAATTATAATATTATATACGCATAATAGTGTAGTTTTGAAAGAGTCGCGCCCAAGAATCGCTAACCAGCAAATCTGCCAAAATGAAGAACAGATTCGAAATGATTCAATCATGGGGGGGATATCATACGCGTAACAACGAACAATATGGAAAATGGAGATGGTGCCATCCTCTCTTTCTCTCTCTTCAATCCCTGCCCCGTACATTCCCCTTGTAATCTGATGATAGATAAAGATCAGATAGTTCGTCCCCTCCACACGGTCTTCATGCAGACGGATAAGCAATAACACCACGCCCCTTGGTCTTACACAACGGACACTAATGATCCGACAACACAACATCTCCGTTCATGTTCTAAAACGCGTCTTCATTAGGGCAGGCCGTAACATCATGACCCTCGCTCTCGCATAGCGCACACCATTTATCCGGATCAGCGATAGCAGCGCCCTTGGGAGGCACAAGGTCGGAGTTCGAGGCGTTGAACGAGGGGGTGGGGAGAGGGGATGTGGGCGCGTTGCCTGGTGGTTTCGAGGGGCTGAGGGCAGAAGGGCGGGCGCCGGCGGAGGAGACGGAGAGGCCGCGGAGGCCTTCGATGACGACGTCCTTGCCGCTTCGTAGACCGTCGTCTTGGGGGTAGGACGAGGCGTCTCCGCCCATGGCGGAGCAGTTGAGGATGTCGTGGCCGCCTGTTTCGCAGATTTCGCACCAGAGGAGGCTGCTGTTGGCGGAGGAGCGGCCGTCGGACTCTGGCATTACGGAGAGTGCGGGGGGAGCATCGCGGCGGGTTTGCTGTGGTGGTTCGCGCCAGTTTACGACGGTGTCTTTTGAGTCGCGCTCGGAGGGCTTTTCTTGGGTCGCCGTGTGTTCGGACAGGCCGTTGCTGATGACGCTTTCGCGTTGCTCTGCGAGGCCGAGCTGCCTCTTTAGCTTCTCTAGCTCACGTTCTAGCTCTTCTTCCCTGTAGGCCTTGCGTTCTACAAGACCGCGGAGTTCTTCCTTCTCGCGCTCGAGACG